AAAACTCACACCGGGCGTGTGTGTGTGCGTGCCCAAGATCCCGAGAGGAGAATGGAGGAGAAGGGATTGCGGCGTGGCCATCCCCCCCGGGGGGTGATTTCTCGCTTTCTGTCTCTCTCTGTCTGGCGAGCACACGCGCCCTATAGCAAAAAGAACCCTCCCCCCCAAAAAAGTACCTTTTAAAAATAAAAAAAATAAGTAAAAAATAAAAAAAAGGGATGGAGTCTATGCAGTGCTCACCTGGGCCACCGTCTGCCAGTGGGTGGCATCATCCTCACTAGGATGTATTCCGTAATTCCATCTTCTTTGAACCACGTAGATCACCGGCTCGATGGAAACATTGAATTTCGAGGACCACTTGATCTCCAGATGGCCGCTGTGCAGTTCTGTAAATCGTAATTCTTTCCTGGGCTTCAGGGGCACACCTGCAACAGAGCCACAGCCATTAAGACACCTGCATCTGACTCCTGGTAGTCGCAGTTTAAAAGGAAACCCACAGGAGGCACCATGCTCACCTGGGGACCACAGTCCCCTGTTTCCTTTCATAAAAGGATTCCTCCCTACAGAACTGCACAGGCAAAGTTTTCGGGTGCTAACTGCAGCCTGTCACCTTTTGAAAATGCATCAGTCCCTTCTCTTCTGCCTTTCTTTTTATTAAAAAGAGGATCTAAGTGGGTTCTTGATACTAAACAAGTCCTTTTCTCCCCAGGAATCTCCAGAGCAGTGTTTTCACGTGTATTCTTCTCAATCAATCATGTTAGCTGCGTCTCTTGAGCTTAACCCAGAATTCACACAAGGCAACGTTTGTTTTTCCCCACTTTCAACAGGCTCTATTTCCATGGATAGAGTCTAGTTCTTGTAACAGGGTTCCCAGGTCTGCTCTTTCATCTTGGGGAATGTTCTCTCTTACGGATAAAAACCTGCAAAGCTGAATGGTCTCACGTGGTCAAATCTCCCGAGAAGGATTTTCAAAGAGAAGTACTTTGGATTCCCCAGTTGATGACTCCGAGGGGCCGCTACAGATGGAGTGGGTTAAACCTGGAAAAGGATGCATTCATTGCGAATGTTTCTACTTGGCACGAGCCAGCGCGCCGCGTCCAAAGTCCCTCACAGGTGTCTCATTTTAAAGCACTGCATCATTTTGATGTGCTTTCCCACCACGGTTACAGCGCAGGGCGAGTTGTCTGCTGACGGAGAGATTTAAGCACCGCGGTTCCTAATGGAAGCCATTCTGGAAACGGAATTGAACAGCAAATCTGTCATGCAAATGGGAGACGTAAAATGAACGGAATGAGGCAGACCCGACAGCGCCGTGATGTTCCGCGTCACGACTCCGAGGACACCAGTCCCCATGCATGGCACTTTCTGCCGACAGGCATATTTGCCTAAAGCCTTGAAAACGAATGGAAAAAAAAAACCTAGTTCACCAGGCTCTAGTTCTCTGTCCATGTCTTAAGAATAAACAAAGAAACCGGAAAAACGTGTAACTACGAAATGGAAGGAAGGTTTGATGTCCTTTGGTGATGTGGCTGGCTTTTCAGTTCGTAGTTCATTCTTATTTTAATTCATGTTAGGTCTTGTTTGGGGAAACATTGACATTATCAAATATTTCGGTGGGTACAGTTGGGTTATTTATTTACTTACTTGTTTATTTTTAGTTTTTGCTATAGGGTGCATGTGTTTGCCAGAGACAGAGAGGGGAAGAGGGAGAAGTCACCCCCGAGGAGGGCAGTCACTCCACAATCCCTTCTTCACTCTCCTCTCAGGATTTTGGGCATGCACACACACACACCCTGCATGATTTTCAAGCTGCCTGGTCTGGGACTTGAACCCTAGAGTTAGGCATGTGTGAACCAGCACCTTAATCTCTATACCACTGGCTGGCCCACAGCTGGGTCATTTAAAAATAAAATTCACATATGATCAAAGGTCATTGCTTTCAGGAACAGCAGGTGGCATACTGGTTGTGGCCCTGGACTCCCCACATGGCCAGACTGCGGTTTGAGTCCCGGACCCAGCGGCTTGAAACTCAATGCTGGTCATGTGTGCCTAAAACCCTGAGAGGAGCATGAGGGAGAAAGGATTGTGGTGTGGCCATCCCCCCTGGGGGATGATTTCTCACTTTCTCTCTTTGTGTCTCTCTCCGTGTCTTGAGTGAGCGCACATGTTCAATAACAAAAATCTCACTCTCTTAAAAAAAAAAAAATGGTGTTTTCTGGAGAACATGTTTACGCCCTGTATTGCGCCCTCCATTTTTGTACGCTGGTGGGCGATGACTGTCCACCACCCTATACTTTACTATAAACTTGTGGGACCAGCAGTTGGCGTAATGGCTATGTCGCTGAACTCCCAAGTAGCCGACCGCAGTTTGAGTCCCAGACCCGGCGGCTTAAACTCACTCCAGGCGCGTGTGTGTGCGTGCCCAAGATCCCGAGAGGAGAATGGAGGAGAAGGGATTGCGGCATGGCCATCCCCCCTGGGGGGTGATTTCTCACTGTCTCTCTCTCTCTCTCTGTCTCTCTCTTTCTGGCGAGCGCACGAACCCTGTAACAAAAACCTCTCCAAAAGGAAAAACTTGTCTCACCTGATCCTTACTGGGACTTTGTAATGTGGGGGAAGGGTTCCTGTCTATATTTTGGACATGAGGTCAGAGGAAGATTTTTTTAAATTATTTTATTTTATTTTTTTATTTTTGGGGGAGAGGTTTTTGCTATAGGGCATGTGTGCTTGTCAGACAGACAGAGAGAGAGAGACAGAAAGCAAGAAATCATCCCCCAGGGGGAATGACCATGCCGCAGTCCCTTCTCCTCCATTCTCCTCTAGGGATCTTGGGCACACACGCACACACGCCCGGTGTGACTTTTAAGTCACCAGGTCCGAGACGCGAACCGTGGTCGGCTACATGGGAGTCCAGCGACATAGCCATTACGCTAACTGCTGGTCCCAACTGGGTCTGAGGAAGATTAATTGCCTGGAGCTGTGGTGTGATTTCAGGTTTCTCTCTGAATCCTCTGCTTCTTTCAACATTTCAGAATGGAAAACACCACTTAGAACGGTAGAAAAGAAGCAGTGGTTTTGATGGCTCTGCAGGTCCCTTGGCCATCTTCATCCCATTGTGTTGATTTACCTGGTTGGTGTGGAACTTCACTAAAGTCAAACATGTTAAGATGTACCAGGAGATGAACTGAAAGTGTTTGACCACCCCCCTGCTTCGGCCATTACAGGAGGGTTTTTTCCAAGCCTTTGCCATGGGCTTTTCTTTCTAATGCATGCTGTGACCATGGGGCTATATATTATTTATTTGTTCCATGAAAGAAAGAGACAAGAACCCTCAACAGGGTCTCACACTGTGGTCCTCCACCTGTCTCCCTCCAGGCCTTTCAGGCAGCCAGGATCATGGCCGTGCACACTTGTGCCTGTGTGTACAAGTCCTCCCAGGAACCAAACCCCAGCCTTCCAATGGCTTCCATCGCTGCAAAGCATCGCATGCCCACTACACCGGTATGATGGACTGGGAGTCACATGTGCTTGCTGACCAGAGGATCCGTGCTAAGCAAATCATTCTCAAATCTATCTTCCTTCCTTCTCTAGGGGGCCCACCCTTTCCACCCACCCATTAGATCTCTCCAGAACTCCCATCTCATATTCTCTCTCTAAAATATGCCTCTTCTCCTGTGACCTACATCTTCAAGGTAGCTCTATTTTTTAGTTTATCCAAGGGATCTTAAAATGTTTTTGATTTGGTTTTGTAGCTACCAGCATCCACTTGTTTGATCACATTGTATGTGTTTCAAGAATTCCCTGGTTGGGATGTTCTGTCTCCCGGATGATCACCCTACTCTCTCGTCTGGACTTTGCATTTGCTTTCCAGCCCATCTCCCCGAGGGTTCATCTCTTTTTCCTAGTTCCTTTCTCACCATGTTTGGTGGCCATTTTCCTAAAGTAGAGGACACTGTGTCCTTCACCTTCTTAAACTCTTAACTACATGCCATCTTCCATCTCTGCCCCTTCTTCAAGACATTTATTTTTCCTGAATGAGCACTTATCTTTGAATTTGCTTGCTGGTAGTACATCTTAACATTTATTTCATGTATTTATTTTTATTTATTTATTTATTTTGGGTCAAAAATACTTCTTTAAACCCAGCTTTCCAAGAAACATACCACTAGGTGTACTTTATACTACCCTGGGCTTTTTGTGGGTTTCTGCTTTATTTTCTCACTCTAAAATGCCTTTCATTCTATAGGGGGAATTTAAAAGCATGTGAAAAAAAATGGAATTAAAGTACAAGCTTATTCTGGTGCCAAAGAATTTGGAAACTCGTGTGTCTTTTTTTTTCCTAATACACATTTCCATGAAAGCTTTGAAGACCTCTTGTATTTTCTGACTGTAGGTGCCTGAATACTTCCAGATTCAGGCCAAATGCCACTGCTCTGTGACATGTTCCTTCAACTTCACAACTGGAAAGAAAGGCTCCATTCTTTGGCCCCTATTCACCGTTGAGCCCGTAACTGTCAAGACATGCATTTAACTGCCGCTCGCTGCCATAAGCTCATTTAACGATGTCTGTCTTCCCCACTAAGCTTTCACCCCCAGAGGTCAAGATCCATGTCTCCCTCATTGCCATACCTCACAGTGTCCCAGAAGGGACCATTGTGCAATAGCAAACGCTCAGTAAATGTTTGTCAAAGGTATAACCTAACCCATTTTCTCATTCTCCTCTCACAAAGATGTCTGGGGAAATAAGAGACCTACTGGAACAGTTACACAAACCTTTGCAGCAATAGTAAACACCTCTCTGCTTAGAAATCACTTAGGGGAGAAGGGAAACGTATCGGGGTCCCTCTGTGCTGCTTTCTGAAATGGATATTTTTTTCAAGGAACTCACATCTCTTTTTTTTAATGGAGAAGGGAAACGTATCGGGGTCCCTCTGTGGTGCTTTCTGAAATGGATATTTTTTTCAAGAAACTCACATCTCTTTTTTTTTTCTTTTTTATCATGGTCCTGTTACTCAAATGTGCATTTCCTCTAGTTTTTTTTTTTTTTTTTGTAAGATACATACTAAAAAAATAAAACAATGCTAAAAGGTTTACAGAATAAAATGGCTTTATCTCATTAGCCGTACGACTTTCCTAGTTAGAAAGACAGGAAGAAAGGAGGGAGGGGAGAAAAGGAGAAAGAGAAGACAGAAGAAAAGAAAGGGGGAGAAAGAAGGAAGAAACAGAAGAAGGAAGGAAGGAAGGAAGGAAGGAAGGAAGGAGGAAGGAAAGAAGGAAGGAAGGGAAAGAAAGAAGGAAAGAAGGAAGGAGAAAGGAAGGAAGAGAGAGAGAGAGAGAAAGAAAGAGGGGGAAAGGAGGTAGGGAGGAAGAGGGAAAAAAGGGAAGGGAAGGGAAGGGAAGGGAAGGGAAGGGAAGGGAAGGGAAG